GCCAGATTTTTATTGTTCTTAGCTTTCCTCATTAGCTCCAGCTCCTTTAGTGTTTTAGTATTCCTGACACTACTCTTACAGGACTATGTTATGATTTTCTATTAATCCTTCCTTAATCACTTACCCTTGCTTTTATCTTTTCAAATTCTAAGCTAGTTGATATGTAAGTGGTATATCCACGTTGTTTTATTTAGTAAAATCTAACTTTTGCTCCTCAATGTGACTATATCTTTTCTTTTTTTCAACCTTTTAATTTTGTTCTAATATATAATATATTGTCTCATGAAGTGATTGAGTTCTATTTGGTATATTCTCATTTTCAGTGAGTCCATTACTTGAATAATGTTTCCATCTTCCATTCTAAACTATTTATTCTTCCTTTTTTAATTTCTAGAGCTCTTATTTCATTTTTTCCCTTGCTTCATTTCTGTGAAGTATCCTTATAGTCCTTGTGGCTAAGCCATTTTATTTCCTTTAAGACCCTGCTTATATTTATCGCAGTTATTTTTTCTTCTTCTGAGTTTTCTTCTTGGGCAACTCCTGACCCATATGTTCCTGTAGTGTTTAGTGTCTTCTTTCTACACATATCTCTAGCTTCAGCTCTTGACTTAGGATTTATTTCAGAGCAGTACTCCATTCCTTGCCACAATCTTGGATATAGTACTCAGCCTTATTTGACTTCATTTTCTCAGAGTCTTGTCATTGGTTTCCATTTCCCATCTTGTGCCTCAGTTCAGAGTTCTGACAGATCTCAGAAGTCCCTATTAAGCTCTTCAGTTGGCTATTTCTAGTCAAGGCACTGAAGGAGCAGCCAGGTGGTGCATTTGATAGAGTGCTAGGCCTGGAGTCAAGAAGATCTGAGTTCAAATGTGGTCTCAGACTCTTACTGGCTGTGTGACTCTGGGGAAGTCACTTAACCCTGTTTGCCTCAGTTTCCTCACCTGAAAAATGAGCTGGAAAAATAAATGGCAAACCATTCCAGTATCTTTGCTAAGAAAACCCCAAATGAGGTCATGAGAGTTGGACATGACTGAAAAATGACTGAATGATAAATATCTGGTTAGCTGTAGTCATTTTTGGCTAACAGCCTGTCATAATTTATACCATAGTCAAAAATCAGTGCCTAATAATTTATCATATAAGAACAAATGAGATAATATTTGTAAAGCACTGGCACATAGTAGACACTTAATAAATACTTGTTTTTTTCCTTCCCACCCCCACAGATGCATAATACTCATTCATACAGTAAGAATTTGTAGACTCAGAAGTTGATGAAATATTAAAGGAATTCTTCATTTCTTGAGATCTTGATTTTAAAAAGTTACTAATTATGTAGTGGGTTCTACTTTTATTAGTTTAAGACTTTGACAATCCACAGAAGAAATTATATCAAACATTTTATTCCATAAGGAGCACATACAGATCCCTTACTAAGAATCATTTTAAAGTGGTGTTTCAAATGAAGCTTCATTTTTATGCCTGAGAGAATGCCTTGCAACAAGAATGCTTTGTTTATCTAGATTCAGCATGTTCTAACACACACAGACACACACACACACACACACACACACATGGGCCAGGTGCATTCAAAAGTTCCTATGAGTGGAGCAATCTATTACTGACAACTCACTCTTTGGCTCATCATTTCTGGCTTCTGTTATAACTTTGTAGCACCTGGATACCTTGCACCTGAGGCCCTCAGTGAAATTATCTGAGATGCAAGGTACTCTGTAGGCCTATATCCACTAAAAACAAAGAAAATAAAATATACTGATGGCTTACTTTACTCTACAGTCCTCCATAATGTGTTTACCAATAAGCCAGATGAGAACATTTCATTCAAAGCAAAAGCATTTATTTGATGAAATAATATAGTGAAAAAAAGAGTAGCAAAATATTTCCCTCATAAACATGGGACATTACCCATCCACAAATATACAGACCATTATTGGGAAGAATGGATATCCCTAAGAAACTTATGCTGAAGGTCCACATGTAGGGAACACATGATCAGAGCAGCTCATCTTCTCTCTATCCAATACTGTAGAATTGTCATTATCTTCTGGTAATGTTAGAAGGATATTTCTACTAGGCTTAGTCTCCGCTGGTTTCTTGTGCAAGTTTCTGTCAAGCATTTTATCTTTGTGGGGTACGTAAATATTGCTCCCTGTTAGTCTCATGTGATTTCTCTTAGATTGTGAGCTCTGCTGGTCTTGTGATTGCGGGTCTTTTCTCTACCACCAATTTTGGGCTTCATATCCTTAGGGCACATGCCAGTCATTTTTGTTCCTTTCTGTTAGAATGTGGCACATAAAAATACTTTCCCTGTTCATAGTAGACCAACAGCTTTTTAGTTATAGATGTGGTGCTGAGCCACAGGCAGTGTTCCCCTGGGAGCAAGATTAAGTTTGATTTTTGAACTTCCTCATTCAAATAGGAAACACATTCTTGTCCCATGCCTCTATTTGACTTAAGGTTAGAAAATCCTCACTTCTTATTTAATTCACTCATGGAGAGCCTATGTTTCCCAAACCATTTCAGGTGACTCTGTCAAAGAAATCCCAGAGAGCTACACGTGTTTAAGTCACCATTTTTTTCCCCCCAGGGCCCCCAAATCCTTTGAGTCGTGCCATGCAAATGCATCTAAGCAAACACCAAAGTGAGGTGGAGAGGACAAATCATTGTCCTCTTATTGTTGGGCCACTTTTTTTTTTTTACTTTATTATGTATATGTGGACAACAGTAAGCCACCGTGTAGTTGCAGGTGTCTGTATTCGTGCGCCAGTTTCACTGGAGAATAGTTTGAAAGGGATGTATGGTGGGCATAAGGATTTCACATCACCAGAGCTATGGAATAGAGTAAATGGTAGCAATGGCAGCACTGGGCATCATAGAAGTAGCGTGTAGGAAATAGATAGGAATCAACCAGTCAACAATCAAAAAAGCATTTATTAAGCACCTACTATATGCCAGGTACAGACTATAAGGAAATGCTAGAACCTGGCAGGATCAGAAAGGGGAAAAGATGAGGTGGAGGACATTACAAAGGTTGAAGTTCTAGTCATGTATAATTGGAGAAGATGGGTGGGAAGTGGAAGGCAGATAACAAACAGCAGGTGTAGATAACAGAATTGCGGTGCTAAAAATGAGGGGGAGGAAAGAATGCTGAAGACTTGCCTTATTTAAACAAAGCCACACAAGTAGTTATGAGGTCTTGTCCAATTGATTTAAAATAATGCTTTACTTGCATGAATTTGAACTATTGTAAGTTTTGAATTAGCGGAATCTAGAGTAATATATTTTTGTTAAACTGACTTCTATTTGATCCATGCTCCTATCCACATAAATTTTAGAATTTTCCTGGATCACCTCTAGTTATTCTGCTTTGAGTAGAAAAGTCATAAATTATGATGACAAAATTTTGTTGCATTTTCCTGGTTAATTGCATATTTTTGTACTTCACTCAAAATGTTGTTTGAATTAATTGATTATAATGATGGCAATAAAAATAACAGTTAGGTTCTCTAAGGTTTTTTAAAGCACTTTACATTAATTATTTTATTAACTCTCATAACAGCACAGTGAAGTGGGTAATATTATTATAATACCCATTTTACAGATGAGGAAATGTAGGCTCACATGTGCTAGGCAACTTGGCCCAGGGTCACAGACCTAGTAAGTATCTGAGGCAAGGATTAAAACTCTGGTCTTCCTGACTCCAAGGCCAGCACTCTAGCCATTATGCCAAATTTTATAGTGAATAGAATGCTGAATCTTTGTCCCGATAAGGATGGAAGATTCTTGTGGGAACCGCAAATTCATAGGATATATTATTTTGCTCATGATAGACAAATGTGTTGCTTTACATTTCAGGGTACCTAGTAGGTGCTAAATAAATGTTCATTGATGATGTTTTCCCTTCCTCCTGGATTTATATGAGTATCTCTTCTGCTCCTTGAATATATGTTCAAGGAGATACACAACACACACACACACACATACACACACACACACACACACACACACACACACGAACATACTTTCCATGAACATTACCATTTTCTATATGTACATGCTTTACTGTCACATACTCACTTTACAAAGAAACACTCACCATCCCAGTCAGCCTGGTAGAGCCGGATGCCATGGTCTTACAGATTATTAGGGTTCAAAGAGCCTTGAAAGTCATTTAATTCTGTTCCACTTAATAGAAATGGCCTTGAGAGATTGAGTGACTCATACATGGTCACCCAGTTAGTGGCAGAGCCTGGACAATCAGACAGGCCTATTTTCCCTTACACCAAGATATAGTCTAGCATTCTACATACAAGCTTTGGGACTCATCAGCTCATCTCTAGAATACAGCCAGGTCTAGGGTTAATGCACCTAAGGAATCCCATGAAATGGTTGCATATGTTTGAATTCCTACTATTTAAAGTTATAATTGTGTTGCATGTGGTAACTGGTTCTAGCCTAAAGGAAGTATACAGTATGAATTCAAACAATGCAGCCACTTCTGGGGATTCAATATTCACACTAATTTGGACCTGGCTATTTTTCTGGTAGAGGGAGTTATAGTTGCTTAGAATATTCTCAGCATCTGTTGAGGAAATCTTTTAAAGCCTTCTTTTAAGAACAATCCTCTTAGCAACATGTAAAAACAAAAACTGCAAGTCTTTAGAAGTCTGATTCATGCTATGATAAGCCATGAGTCCAAAAGAATGAAAGTGACACATGCCACCCACCTCCTAACAGAAGTAATAAATTTAAGTCATACATTTTTGTACGTGGCTAATGTGGAAATTTGTTTTGCCAGACTATGTAGATATGTATTGAGGGTTTTTTTTTTAATTGCTCAATTGCGAGAATAGTAGGAGAGAGATTAATTTAAAAATACTTGTAAAAATTAAATTCAATAAATATTTATTATGAAAAAGGAATGTCTTTTATTTATATTTATAATTTTAAAAGCCCTTTTCCTTCTTTTAAAAAAACAGACTGGGAAATGAAGATACTCATTTTGAATTAAGCATGGCCAGTGATGGATGTGAAGTGCACCGTTTTGATCCTAGTATTAAATCAGCTCACGTGCAGGAGAGTCAACACCTTTGGTTGCATCGCCTATCCATTGATTGGAGGGATCCCCATCCAGCCATTGCTGTCCACAAGCTGCATAGCAACACGAAAAAACTGGGAACCATCTTGAATGAGTTTGGACACAACAAGGTCAGAATTCAGCATGTAATTTTATGGTGGCAACTTTTGTGTCAGAATCAGTCATGACATGGAGTTCCCTGGTGCATTTTGGGAGTAGCGCCTCACTCGTTTAGCCTCTTCTCCCAGGTAACCTGAATATGTATATATGGTATCCACTAGCATATAAGATTTTTTAAAAATGAAGCCGTAAATCTTTGAAAGAATTGTCCAGTTCTCCAGAGTCACGTACAGTCCTAAATATGTGACTGCATTGTGCCTTAGAGTGTTGGACTTGAAGTCTAGAAAACTGAGATTTGAATCTTGTTTCTGACAGTAACTAGTTATGTGGCCCTAGGCAAATCCTTTTGCCTCTCTGAGGAAGGAAGGAAATAATCATTTATTGAGAGCCTACTATGTACCTGGTACTATTCCAAGTGCTTAACAAACAGTACCTCACTTAGTCTTCACAACAACCCTGTGAGAAATATACTGTTATTTCCCCCTTTTATAGTTGGGAAAACTGAGGCAACAGGTTAAGTGATTTGCCCAGGGTCACACAGCTAGTGTCTGAGGCTGGATTTGAACTCAGTCTTCCTGACTCCAGTCCCAGTGCTCTACCCGCTTGCATTACCCATGGGATCCTGTTCTAATCAATGGTGGAAGGAACCTCAAGTGGCCCTCTGGTCCAACCTGTACCCATTTACTTTTCTTCACTTAGCCATTCTCTTTCCTTATGATAAAATTCCAATGACAACATTTCAGGCCATGAAGGTATAGCAAATACGAAGAGGGTCTTTGCCACAGAGTGGGTTGTTTCTGGTTTAAGTGGTATTTTATGGTGCCTTCAGTATTGGGAGAAGACTCCAGAGCAATAGTTTTGGTATAGGTAAAAAATAAACAAACATTTCAGTGACACTATTAACTTAAATTTTACAGGCAGATAAAATTCATATATGTTTCTATATATTTTTTTCTGCCATCAGAATTAATTTCACATATTTTCATAGTTGGCTTCTTTGTTAGGATATAGTCAATTTGAGGTTTCCATGTTTTTGAAGGGAAGGAAGTATGTCAGGATTTGATTGACACAATACATGTACTGTGTGAAGCAAAGTTTACATAGTGATACACAGAACCTGTCTAATCCTTGTACATGTTTTCTTTGGATAGATGATGGAAAAATAAATCCACTAGCCCTTGTACTTTATTTCTTGAAAATAATTGGTGTAGGGTATTGTCTTCTATAGGCAGAGACCATGGAAATTCATTCCCCTGACAACAGAAGCTTTGTGATTTGTTTCCAGCCTTTTCTTGGCACAGTCCAGTCACTCCAGGGCAGAGATTTCATGGAATTTAGAACATGGCATGATATGTGCTTCCTTTGTTAAATGAGCATTTATCCACGAGGAAGGTGGTATATGTGAAATCAAGTGTTAAAATTGTTTTGGTTTCATGCTCTCTGCTTTTATTTTTTCATCCTTTTGTTTTCTTGAATACTTCTCTTTTAAGACAGCTAGAACTATTTTCAGACCACTTTTCAAGGATCTACTCTGCTTTTTTAAGTGTGATTAAATACTGGTTTTTATCATGTTCTCAACTCAAATCCTTAGGACATGGAGGTGACCCTGAGCTCCTCAAAGACTATGTGTGGGGAAGGAAGTCTCTTGGAGGTTCTATCAAGCTGTAAAGGCTTTGAAAGTGGGCCTGATGATATATATTTGCTGAGGAACTAGCATGATAATTTATTGATCACAAAAAACTGTTAAATACCATCAACTAAAAATGAAGTGGGATTTAGGTCTGCATATATGGAAAGAGTTGGATTCTTGAAAAATTGGATTTTGTCAACAACTAAATGTGATTGAAAAAGGATGTTTAGTTATTAGTCTGTCTCAAAGCAATACGTGTAAGCCTTTTAGTAAAAGCATTGAATCCTTTTCAGCATCAAAAATATTATAAGATTTAAGCAGAGAAGTTAGGGAAATCATTCACATTTCATTTTCGCTATTTGTTACCTTATTTTACATCATTGATTATTCAATTGTCTACTACATTTAACCTAGACGAATCAGGGATTGATTATTGGTTCTGTGTGACACTCAATATCTTTGCCCTTCTTCCCCTAATGTTACCTTCATTTTGATTTTATTCTTTGTTCATTATCCCTTTTTCAAAAGGTTAAGTAGAAAATGTGGGATGCAAACCTGTTTTTTCCCCCACTCAATAGTATTTTATTTTTTTCAATTACATGTAAAGATGGGTTTCAACATTCACTTTTATAAGATTTTGAGTTCCAAATTTTTTTCTCCCTTCCTCCCTTCTCCCCTCCCTAAGATGGCAAGCAATCTGATATAGGCTATACATGTACAATCATATTAAACATATTTCCACATTAGTCATGTTGTAAAAGAGGAATCAGAACAAAAGGGGGAAAACCATAAGAAAGAAAAAACAAAAAAACGACAAAAAAGAGGAAATAGTATGCTTAATTCTGCATTCAGACTCCATAGTTCTTTCTCCAGATGTAGTTAGCATTTTCCATCATGAGTCTTTTGGAATTGTCTTAGATCCTTGTATTGCTGAGAAGAGCTAAGTCTATCCAAGTTGGTCATCACACAGTATTGTTGTTACTGTATTCAGTGTTCTCCTGGTTCTGCTCATTTCACTTAGCATCAGCTCACGTAAGTCTAGATTTTTCTAAAATCTGCTGCTCATCATTTCTTATAGCACAACAGTATTCTATTACTTTCATATACCACAATTTGTTCAGCCATTCTCCAATTGATGGGCATCCCTTCAATTTCCAATTATTTGCCACCACAAAGAGCTGCTATAAATATTTTTGTACATGTGGGTCCTTTCCCTGTTTTTATGATCTCTTTGGGATACAGATATAGTAATAGTATTGCTGGATCAAAGGGTATGCACAGTTTTATAGTCCTTTGGGTATAATTGCAAACCTGTTTTATAAGCTCTCTTTGTGGCTTTGATAAAAGGTTTGGAGGTTGAGGTGTTTAAAATGATATTTGGTAGTTTTCTTTTTATTTGAATTAAATTTCAACAAACATTTCTTACGTGTCTATTTTGTGCAAAGCACTGTATTAGGTGCTGGCGATACAAACATAAAAATGAAACTACCTTTACACTCAAAGAACTTACGTTCTACTGGGTGGCAATATCAATTACAAAGTAAATAACCAGAAAGTATGTGCAAAGTAATACAAAGAACTTTTCAAGAAGGAGAGAATGCTAATAATTAGCGGGGTGGGGGGGGCGAGAGAGAGAGAGAGAGAGAGAGAGAGAGAGAGAGAGAGAGAGAGAGAAAAGAAAGTCTCTGTGTAGGAGGAGGTAGCATGTGATCTATGCTTTGAAGAATTTTATAAGCTAGAAGGACCATAGAGTATATGCCAGACATGTGGGAGAGGACGTAAAAGATAAAATACTGGTTATTCGAATTAAATAACTTATAGAGAAGTAGCACCCAGACAGCAGAGTGCTTTAAATGCCAGGCTGAGGATGTTTTATTTTATCCTAGAGATAATAGGGAACCATTGAAAATTTTTGAGTAGGTGAGTGACATGGTCAAATTTGTGTTTTAAGAAAATGAATTTGTCAGCTATGCAAAGGATGGATTGGAAATTGGATACAGGGTGACAAACTGGGAAGCTATTACAACAGTCCAGTCAGGAAGTGATGAAGGCCTGAGGGTAGAGACTGATTGAGAATAAGATAGGGTTCTGATGCATTGTGGAAGTAGGATTGACAAGGAGACAATTGACTGAATATGGGCACTGAAGAAGAGGGAAGAAACAATTATGACTCCAAGGTCATACATCTGAGTAAGTGAGCACCCTTAACAGAAACTGGACAGTTTAGAAGAAGGATGGGTTTTAGTGGAAATATAATGAGTTCCATTTCAGAGATGTTGAGTTTGATATGCCTCCCAGATATTCAGATGGAGATGTCCAGTAGGCAGTTGGTAATATGGGATTACAGTCTAGGAGACTGTTGGATACATAGAGGAGGCATCTATACAGCAATAATAATTGAGCTCTTGGGATCTCATGAGATCACCAAGGTAAAGATTAATGTATGGATAGAAAGAGAGAGAGTCTAGAATAGATTCTTGGACATTTTTTCCCTTTCCATCACTCTGAATGATCCAGTCCTGACTCAATGGATAGAGTACTGGGCTTGGAATCAAGAAGACTATAATTCAGATTTGGCCTCAGATACTAGCTGTGTAACCCTGGGCAAGTCACTTAACCTCTGTTTGTTTTAATCACTAGTGAAGGAAATGGCAAACCATTCCAGTATCTTTGCCAGGAAAATCCCATGGACAGGATGGTTCATGGGGTCACAGAATCTGACATGACCAAACAGCTTAACAACAACAGAGGACTCATAGAAAGCTAGACCTGAAAAGGGCCTTAGAAATCTACTAGTCCAAGGGTTCTTAACCTTTTTTTTGGTTATAGACCCCTTTGGCAGTCTGAGGAAGCCAACAGGGCTCCTTCTTAGAATAATGTTTTCAAGTGCACAAGATAAAATTCATAGGATTACAAAGGAAATTAATTATATTGAAATAGAGATATCAGAATATCTTTAAAAAAAAAAGGTCACAGACTATCCACTGAATCAACCAACTACAAAGCATTCATTTGGCAATTACTGTATGCCTAAACATATGCTAAACAATCTATACACAGATAAGGAAGTGCATTTAACAGATGAGGATACCGAGGTCTAGAGAAGTGAAATGCCATACCGAAGGTCACACAGCTAGTAGTGGTATACCTAGGACTCAGACTCAGTTCTCCAGACTGCTATTGGAGTGTTCTTTATACTATACTGCATGCTTTCCCTCTACAACCCCAGATAATGAATACTCAGTCAGCTAGGAGAAGTAGCAGCTAGAGTGTTGGACTCGGACTCAGGGAAACCTTAGTTCAAACGTAGCCTCAGACACAGTTAAGTAGCTACGTGACTCTAGGTAAGTCAGTTTGCCTCTGTAAGGTTCAGTTTCCTCT